AGAAGGCTCGTTTTCTCTCTCTTTTTAGCTCATAAATTACCATCATTGTGGTTCTTTTTGTATGCATATCTCGAGTGCAAGAAAGCAGACCGTGAATATTCAATAATGATGAAGTCTAAGCGAATCGAAATCAATTCACTATGCTTAAATGTGTTACGCGAGTTAACAGCTACACGTAATAAATGCGAGCAGCCTTGGACTGGCTTGCCATATTTGGAATAGCATCATCCTACGATATCTAACGTCACCGGTTCTCTGGTAACAACCGTGAAATTCTTCAATGATAGATGAAAGAACGCGTGTTTTGGTTGTTTGTCCTTTGACAAAACAGAAACAAAAAGAAATTGTAAAAAAAAGAAAAAGGAAAGAACAAAATTACTTTGACCCAATTGAATTTGTTCACTCCACACCATTATAGATGTCCGTACGTCACGGGATAATAGAACAATAAAGTAATTATTAAAACATCCGAAGAAGTAATTAACGTGAAGTGTTTAATATTAGTATTTTTTCTAATATTGTTACTAATATTCGTAACTCAAGTATTTAGGCTTAGAAGACTTCAAACACCTATTATTTTTAATTCTTTGATAATAAAAACTCACCACTTCTACAAGAGAATCATCTTCATTTTCTGCTACCTTACGGAAGCTTTCCTTCAAGTGTAGCATGCCTTGATAAATGCAATCAACGTAAATGTCTATTTCGGGGTCAGGTTTATTCTGATGCACGAAGACGATTATTTTCTTCCATGGAGCATTCACGTTCTGAATTTCCAGGCGCTCTGTAGTTCGATGACCATTTCGGTTAGTCTTCTCGTAGATGACTAAAATAGAGTTAAAATGAATTAGTAAGAAATATATAATAATATTTTTTATTTATAAGAATCAAATAATTTGTATTTGGAATATTCTTCTTACTTCGATTAGTTTGTCTGTCGAACTTAAATATCATTTTTGTCTTCGATTTCTCGTATTTTACAGCTAGAAGAATATCAATCGCTGCTTCTGATTGTTTCTTTTTTGATTTGGCGTTCAAAGCAACAATCACAAAATCATTGTAGTCCCATGTTTCTCGAAGATTTGTCGTCAACCCTGTAAGCATTTGTAACAAGGAAAAATATTAATTAATTTCATTTTGAGAAACTCTGACTTATTATCATTTCAGGGATGTCATCGTGCTTTTATCACCTTCAATGCTTAGAGAAAAGGTTTCATGCAGAGCTTCAGAAATTTCCCAGAGCCCACACAGGATCGTATCGAATTTCGATATCGTTTATTAGTAGACTGCGAATTTTTTCAAACTTATTTTAAAGATAAGAAGATATACAACAATGCATATTATATGAAACAAAATATATGAAATGTTCAAAGTACATACTGGTTAGGTATAATATTCAAAGGATGAAATAAATCTTTACCTACTTAATTGTACTTATAAAGATATGAATTTGATAAATATCCGCAGCCTAATTATAAAATATTTCTTTTGTCTATTGTTTATCTCAAAATAGTAGAAAAAATGTCGTTAGTAAATTTGTGTCAAAAAAAGTTGTTTTCCTAAAGATAGATGAATTACTTCCACAATTGGCGAGCATGAAAATAGTTATTTCAAGTTGAACTGTTGTAAAAACCATTTGTCGTTCCTTGCGTGCCGTTACCGGGTTTCTTGTCAAGTTGTATGGGGACTGGTTTGCAACACCGTAAACACCTTATGGGAACGTTCTACCTCTACTGTTTTACTATGACACAGTTTACTTTGCTTCCAAGACTATAGGAGGAAAATAATAGTTTTAAAAAACGCAAGGAAAGATAAAGAAAAATTAATTAGAATTGATAATCAAGAATCTAGGTTGTAGATATATAATTCAAGATCAATATTCTAATTAGTTTTTAACTCGCAGTTTATTTTACTTTTAGCATTATAAGATAGGAAACATTAATCCATATTTGAAATCTTCTAGATTCTATATTATACTTGAAGATATCCAAAGATTTGTTATACTATATTTGTACTAATTAACAAGTTTAATTGTGACCAGAAAATTATTTTTATCCATACTTTTGTCAAGCTTGATATTAAATATTGTATACCTATATTGGAAACATTAGATTTATCTGTCATCCAAAATTCTTAATGCTTAAAAATTACAAAATTTTCCAATCTTCATATATCCTCAAAATGTTATTATATTTACAAAATTAAGCAACTAGAATTAAAAAATTTTGGAACTAAAGTCTTGTATTTTTAATTTATACGCTAAAAGCTATTAAACTATATTGAACTGAAGAATCTGGATCTGTTTTTAATTACGAAAGCCACATTCATAGAGTTGATAGACCTTCTATATCATTGCCATTGATATTCCACTTTTATTCTTAAATTGTTTACTAACATTCACGAATAAAAATAATTACGTGATAAATTTAATAAACGAAAAACATGAAAATAATCGTTCCATCTTACCTTTATCCAATTTCACGTTACAATCAGCGACGTAAACAACGAATAGTATCGCGAAGATCAACGACGCGACAATATGCATTTTAAATCACTGTCTTCGGAATTTAATCGATTATTTTTCCACGAGATCAATTAGCCAATTTTATTTTTTTTTTTTTTGCGTCGTATTTACGGTTTACTCCTACTGCGTGTTGATTAAGGTTAAGACGTACTGATCTAGAATAAATAAATCGTGATGAATAAAATCGCGGGACGTTGGCAGGACGTTCATCGACTGAGACATGGAAAAGCCTACCGACGACTTTATAACTCACCCACGGAAATTTCCGAGTACAGAGTCGTTGTCCGTGGCATATAGAACGAAAGGAATTGATACATCTACGAATAATTACTTTATAAACACCTCTTCTTTCCTTATCCATAACCACGCCCAATATTTAATCTAATGATTCTGATTAAAAGTCATTTAATATCTTCGTTATCCCTAAAACATAAAAAGGACCATTAAATAAAATATTTATAAAACTATGTACACTAAATTAATAATTACTAGAATGATATTTCGAAATTCAAAACTAATAAATTACCATATAATTATTAAATATTGCAATTTAATATTTCATGACGTAAAATGCATTGTATTAAGAGCCTTTACGGTGATTAAAATGTTCCTTGTATTCTCTTTTAATTGAAGCACAATGTGTGACTTAATTTATTCTTATAAGTTGCTCTGAGTTTTTTAAATATAAATTATACCGAAAAATGTTTCACATAAAAGTTGAATAGCTTCAACGGGAGCATATTTTAATGCTAGATTAGTTTCTCTATAGGTAGGTGTATAAAGGTGTTGTGAAGATCACCCTTGTTTTTTTTAATGGAATTATATATTTTTTAATACATTAATCGATGCAACTTGAGATTTTCTATAAAAACTTATTAATCTACCTATGTCGAAAAACTATTAGTTTAGTAGATATTTTTACGTTTATTTTGTAAAACTTATTGTATGAAACAGAAGGAAAATAAATACAAACCTAATGCCTTGCGTCTTTCATTTAATTAAATCAGCTAATTTATTTACGTTGCAAATGCTCAGTAGCTTCTGGTAACTTAAGACTTTTTTTAATTGAAGGAATGTTCATTGAGAATTATGATATCCAGTAGCCTTTTCTCTCGTCCGGAGGCTTGAACAAATATTGATGTATTTATTAGGCTCTGTATTAATCGAAAAGCTTGGAGGTTTTGAGAAAATTCCAACTGGGCAGAATCACGAAGAAAATAATGAAGGCCGATTTTTACAACTTTTTTATCTGAGCCTGTAATGAAAATTTAAACAATACGTTTTGTAGATTTATGTCAGTTATAATATGTACGTGCTGAAAATTTGATCGATGAAATTTTTATGAACCTGTAATGAAAATTTAAACAATACGTTTTGTAGATTTATGCCAGTTATATATGTACGTGTTGGACATTTTGTCCATGCAATTTTTATGAGCCTGTAATGAAAATTTGGACAATGCAAAAATTTCATTGATCAAATTGTCAGCATGTATATATTATAACTGATATAAATCTATAAAACGAATTGTTTAAATTTTCATTAGAAGCTCAGATAAAAAAGTTGTAGAAACCAACCTTCACTATTTTTCTCGCAATTCTGACCAATTGCAATTGTATCAGCAATTTTTTTACACATTATCTAGTTATTAATTTGTCTAGCTTCTCAAACAATGTCAAGTCGTTTGATCCGATTTTAAAAGGGTTATTGTGTTTTAAAGAGTATCCGAATGACGACCACTGTTAACGTATATTAGAGTGTGCACGGTTATTACAGTCTTGCATGTAAAATAACACTGTTCATTTTTATCTTTTTCTCCAAGAAAATGAAAATTTAGTGAAATTAAAAAATAAATTAAGTCAAAAGGAAATTATTGACAGCTTCAGTGCATGATGAAAGATCTAAAAGTGAGCAAGGTTATATCATTCTCTATGAGGGTATGCTGATTACACTTTACAAAACAAGATTTTATCCCATCAAACAGGTGTATATGCAATATATACAATCATAAACAGAATTGGACATAAAATTTATGATTTTTAGAAAGTCATGTCGAAAATTTAACTAAAATTTTTCTTCTAGATAGTTGTATGCATTGTTTAAAAATTTCTCGTTAAAGAATACAGTAATTTTATCAGTTAAGCTTTTAATACAGAGCCTGGTAAGTACTTACATCAACAGCTGCTAAAGCCTTCGAATGGGAGAAAAGAATACTGGATAGACTAGCTCTCAAAGAACATTTTCTCAATTAAAAAAATTTTAGTTATTGAAAGTTATTGAGTATTTGGAAAGTAAATAAGTCAGCTAATTTGGATAAATGAACAAAAAGAACATAGGACCTATTTTCAGTAGTTTGTTATCTTACCATCAGAGGACTAAAATCTAAACTACGCCTCCACTAAGTTTCCCAATACACTCGTTTCATGCTAAATCGATAAAGTTGGGAATGACATTAACACGACAATTGATCTATGTCAAATGATCAAATGATTCTATACTGTGCTCGCGGTTCCGTGTATACAATTACTGTTCATTCTAAAACATAACCTATAAGCATCCAGGTGAATATCGACAAAAATGAATGTATCAACTAGAAGAATTTTTACGAAAGTAGGAAAACCATATAATATTATCATTGTTCGATCTCTGAGCAAAGAAACTTTATCTCAATGGTGGTGTAAGCTTACAAATCAGAAACCAAATCGCAAAACTTTCAGAAGTGATATTTATGGACAGGAACCTTATGAATCCAACTACAAGTCAAGTGAAAAAATTAGTTTCCCTGCATATTGTTTATTGGTAAGTTAGAGACAAAAAGTGTCATATATTACAGAGAATTGATTATTATAAACAGTATCTTTTTGTATCGAAAAATTGAAAAACAGAGTGTACCAATTTGTACATTTTTGCTTGGTACATGGCAAGTTCGAAGGCTTAAATGGAAAACAGATTTAGTAGAAAGACTAAAAAAGCGTACTAGTCATGAACCTTTTGAATTACCAGAAAAGTAAGGAGAATAAAATTTATAACATTTTTACTATTATAGAATTATATGGAACAATGATCAATTTTATTCAGTTTAGAAGATTTGGAGACAAAGGAATATTATCCTATTAGAGTGAGAGGAACATTTTTATATGACAAAGAATTTATGGCAGCAAATAGAAGCCTGATAAAAGATGGTAAACCATCAGATGCCAATTTTTCTTTTGGAAGCAGATCAAAAAGGGGATATCATATTATTACACCCTTTAAGTTGGCAGATAGAGAGTAAGTAGAGATGTACTAAAAGGATGTACATTTATTCTTCTTTTGTTTTAAAGCTTAAAGTATTTTGCAGCTTAACAATTCTGGTAAATCGTGGCTGGATTCCAAAAACATTAAAAAATTCACCACAGAGATACCAATCTGAGGTAGAAGATGAACAAGAAATTGTAGGAATTTTAAGAATGAGTGAAAGAAGACCATCTTTTGTTCCTAAAAATCGTCCACATCATAATATGTGGTATTATAGGTATGTAAAAATATTAGCACTATAATTCCTAAATAAATCTTTGTTTATTTTCCAGAGATGTGTATGAAATGGCTGAAAAGGCAGATACGTCTCCTATATACCTCGAAATGAGCACTGACAACAATTTGAATCAATATCCAATTAGTGGTCAAACAAGAGTGGAATTACGAAATGACCACTTAAATTATCTCCTCACATGGTATTGTCTGTCTGGAGCTACTGCGTACATGTGGTACTGGAAATTCATAAAAAGAATACCATTAACACATTGAAAACAAGCACTGAATATGCATTTAGGTCATAAAGAAAATAGTTATCATGCGCATATATATATAAGAATCATATATTATTAGTCTAATATTTTTTTGTAATTTAATCTTAGTAATTTAATAAATAAAATATATTGTTACAATTATTCTATACCACAAAAAAGTGATTGTACTATGCTAATAAAGGAATATCAATTCTTCATTAAAAAATGTCGCTTTTTATTATTATAACAACAACAGTGATAACCACTACCAACAAAATTGTCAACAATGGTCATGGTATACAATTACATTGAAGAAGTCACCATAGAAAATACAAATATGAAAATATACCATACAAATATGAAAATACACCATGTACATATTACATTGACTTTTCTTTCCATTTTTCTTTTTAATCATTATATGTACGTATTTACTCTAATGTAATAATCACGGCCTTCGCAATCCGCGAGTAACCGTTCAAATGATAACTGCGAAAAGGGGACATATTTATTGAACTTTTCAGTTTGTCGTGCCTTCATGAAATTCCGTGATTGACAGCCATACGTATATCATCGTAACGACATGTAATTGATCATGGCACCCTCCAGCATTTTCAGGTACTGAAAGAGGTATTATATTTGTTTTTTATTACATTTAAAAGATGAACATATATCACGTTTGAACGTAGCATATGAAATACAAAGTTTTACATATATTCTGAAATAACGAGTACCTGTCCAGACCAACAATTTTGTAAACGGTGTATATTATCATCTTACATCATTTTAAACAAATATATATATCTCCTCGAACGTATCAAAAAATGAAAGAAATACATAGTAGTTTTGCAAAAATTACTGCGTTTGTTATCCTAAATCGGTAACGCCTCAAATCCATCAAGTGACACATTGCAGACTGCTCATGAAACTTGTTTCGAGGAATGTAATATGCAGTAGATAATATATCAAGATAATTCAAGAGCTATTAATATAAATATTAATCTCATGCATTTCCTTTTCTATTTCTTTCTAACGAGCACCAGAATTAATGAAAATAAGGATGATCTATGAATCATATTAATTTCAAAACATCTACGCAATTAACCCTGAACAATATAATAAACGAAATTGGCTTTATTGTCGCGCTAGGATTAGGTTGGTAGACGTAAAAAGCATTAACACTATGTGCACGGGAAATAATCTAATAATAAACATTTTCTACGTATGTATTCAGACATATATATATATATAGATACATAATTATAACGATCCTCCTATACCCTTTAAAAATATCAAATACAAATAACAAATCGTTCGATTTGCGAAAATTTTATAAAATATATTATTCGAATGTAAAATAAAATATAATAATTATTCTTATCAAGTATCTTGTTCGCATTTATTCTCTTCCCTTTCTTTTCATACCTATATTTCTAGCAACAATTATCGAGCAGGCTTTTTATACATTTCCATAGAATATGTTCGACGAAAGTATAATCACTATTGCACTACAAGACATTTCGTCCAATTTCTCCTTTCCATGGATGCATCCATTCGAAAATAGCTTGGGGCATTTTACTCGTTTAGGACGCAGGTGCGCACCAAAGCATCACATACTGAGTACGGATCGCAATTGCTGCTGGGTCTCCTATCTTCCAAGTAACCTTTCTTTTCCTCCGCAACACCTCGAGGAATACGAATACTAACGTTACGATTGGCCACGCCAGCACTGAAGTCGTGTATGCTGCTGGTTTCGCATTTTCCGGTTAAACGACGTTCATTGTCCTTCCCTCCGCGTGGGTCGTACGCTTGAATATGCCTGAGGTGTTGTTTGCTCAATTTGTCGATTGCCTTCTCGATCTCGGCGATACCATTCTCGGCACGCATGGCTTTTGTCGAGAAGTTCGTGTGCGCACCGGCACCATTCCACGTACCATCCATGGGTTTCGGGTCTAGGGTGACAATCACACCATACTCCTCAGCTACGCGATGAAGAATAAACCTGGCTACCCACAGATCGTCTCCACCCGATATTCCGCTACATGGTCCAATTTGGAACTCCCATTGAGAGGGCATAACTTCTGCGTTAGTACCGGCAATCTTTACGCCAGCGTAAAGGCAAGCTCGATAATGAGCTTCAACAATTTCGCGGCCAATTACTTTATCAGCACCTACACCGCAATAATAAGGTCCTTGAGGGCTAGGGAAACCATTTTTTGGCCAACCAAGTGGTCTACCATCGAAATCAAGGAAGGTGTACTCTTGCTCGATTCCGAACCATGGATCTTGATCCTTAACAGCTTCCATAGCTTCGTTACATTTGAAACGCTTATTCGACTTAGTCGGGGTCATGTCGCTGTAGTAGGTATCACAAAGTACTAGCTTGTTATTTCCGCGACGGAACGGATCATTGTAGATCGCCACCGGACAAAGATAAATGTCGCTGTTGGCACCATCCGCTTGGTATGTCGAACTTCCGTCGTACGTCCATATTGGTAGTTCTGGAAATCAGAAACCAATACGTATTTGATTAAGAAATGTTCTCTAGTTATTGGCATTTATTTTATTTTACTTTCACTTTTACAATGATTTATAGAACATGAAATAATTTGTATGTTAGTATGTTAATGTTGTTAAAAGGTGATTGTTATAAATAATTTATTAAACTAGACTCGACTTGATCGTAAAAGTTTAGCTAAATATCAAGTAGTAAAGTAATAATAGTCAAATAATAAATCTTTGTTTTTTGTAAGAATTGATAAACATCATTCATATAGTTGCTGATAAGTATACCTACTGAAAATACTAATAAGATTTCACTTAACGTTCATATTGTATTTTATCCTGCTTTTACTGATACAGATTCAATGCTTCATTGTAAAGCGTTTTATTTTCAGATGAATAAAAGAGCTCGTGTATATTCGTAGAAAGCAGCTATTTAGCTATCTCTGTTAGCCTTGGCTATCTTTAGAATGGATTAATCTTGCAATTCTCGTAGTAGATATTAAGGGACTTGATTTATTCAAATTTTCAATTATCTATCCATTAATGAAGAAAAATTTTATTTGTTCAATTGTTCTATGAAACATTACTTTAACATTGTAAAGAGTAGTAAATAACTAAATAAAAAAATAAGTAACTAATAAGTAATAAGTAACCTAGCAAGTAATAAATAACATAAGTTATTGATTAATTATTAATTAATAAAAAAATGAAAATACATCTATTTATTGATACTATCATCCGACGAAGTTCAAAACAAACGCATATTTCGACTTACATAATCAATTCCATGCAAGTACTACTCTTAGATTGCCGACATTCAATCATGGCCCCGTGAATTCTACGCGCCACAGATGTTAATGGTTTTGTAACGCGCGCAGAATCTCATGAAGACGGACGGATATTATTCGTAATGCTGACAAACGTTTGAGATTAATGCATATGTGCCGAGCGATCAACTATTTTGCACATCATACCTTATGTGTTGCATGCCTGAATCGAAAACGAGGAAAAAAATGAAAAACAAATGTTTCGAGATGCGAAATATTAAATATAATCATCTGATGTTCCTTAAACATAGTTTCTATCGTGACATAATATTCAACATGATTAATTAATATTGGCCGGAGAAGATAATTTACTGTTTTTACAACAAACAAACAATTTTGAACATTTATGAAACACTTTGTCAACACGTTTACACGTGTTCTCATGTAAGAAAATGCCTCGATTTTGTGTCCGTCTTTTAATTACGGTAAGTAATTACTTAATTTGGTGTTTGTAATAGATCATTTGTTTCGATTCACTGAACTGGAAATCAACTAGTTCAGTCGCATTTTGATGTAACTACATGGAGTAATGAAATTTTTGATCGGCCTAGTTTAAATTACTCTGTAATTTGAAACTGATATTAGATTAACTCTCTTTAGAAAAGGATCCCCACGATAAAAAATTATTGAAGATATGAAATTATTGATATTTTCATGATTAAGTTTCTATAATTAATATTGGATGAGGTTGAGATGCGTTTTTTTAACGAATAGTATACTAATAATAATATATTAATTCGAATGAATTTAACACGTGATTGATCTTGAAAAAATATTAAATTGTAGTTGCTATTTTCCTTAAAATAAAAAAAAAAATTACTTTTTCATGGTAAATATATCAAGACTAAGACACTAACCTGACGGATGTTTCGGCACAAATTCTACAGTCCTGGTCTTGCTTCGCAAACCTTCGCCAGTACCATCGATCCAGATGTATTTCGCTTGAATTTTATCCTCTGGTTGAGGCAGGTCGAGATACTTATTTAGCAAGGTCTTGTCTAAGGCCGCGTTCGGCGACTCCTTCAGCATAACGCGCGACATAGTGATGCTGCAACACGATAAGAATGGTATTAACGACTATAACTATTATTTTCTGTGTCGAAACATAATGCAATTACATATGTACTATCAAAACGGACTACATTGTATCATAGCACCTATAATAACTAGACTGCGAATATTAATATAAGTTCATATTTTTACGAATATTATTAAAAAAAATGTGATCTAAGTAAAGAATTTTTTACCTATTAAATATTATAACGAGTACTATACTTTGGACATTTTACATATTTTTACGTATTATATGCATTTTAGGCACTTTTGCATCTGCAACTTCTCCATAAACGTGTCTATAATGTTATAGTAATACTAATAATAACTAATAATAACACATCATACAATATTTCGTTCATCCAATCGATTTTATTTCATTATACATGAAAAAATGTTCATGAAACAATAAAGGTAATTCTAAAATTCGATCTCTTGAAAATCTCGAATAAAGATTTTGTTTGACATTCGAATCGTTTGTTTCGATATTTGCCGGAAAGTATCGATTCTGAATTCAGACGGATGATGGCGTCGCGTAGTGGCGAGAACGTGAACTCCCCGTGTGATATTAATGAGGATTCATTCGCACATGTCAGATGCAGCGGCACACGGCATAAAGGATCCTCTCGATTTATTCTCGGTGGGACAGAAAGAGAGGTGCGCCTACGTATCACGCAAGACGCATCAGGCATCACGCAGTACGCACGCGGGAATCGCGTGCTATTCCAGCCCCAAAGAGTACACACGCATGTTGCCAGTCGCCCACGAGCAACGCACTCGAATGATGTTCCTAAAATCTTTAACTGATATCATAACTCTAACCACGCACGTGCAAATATTTCGAACGTTTCGAAGGTCGAATCGGACTATTTTTAAAATTTTTCCCTTTGTTGCTCGGATGATACGTATACCATGAAACCAATATATG